GGGCGAGGAAAGGGGGCTGGAATGCAAGCTATAGTGCAAGCAATACATCGCAAGGCAGCATTGGAGCAGTTATGTAAAAAAGGGGCCAGTCCAGCAACACATGGTGTGACCCCTGTAGTGTGGAATGTGTTGCACACAAAGTGGAGCACAAGTCAAAACTCTGTATTGCAACTTTCTACGCTGTGTTTACCAGTGCTGTCTATTCTGGATACACACACACTTTTTTATTTATTTATTTATTTTTTTAATAAATACTTCTTACTGTGCCTGTGCATTAGACATTTCCTTTCCCTCCTCTTCCTCCTCTTAACTTGTACAGAATGTTCCCTACTGTTCCTGAAATGCAAAGCAAAGAGTAGCGGGGATAGGACGGCCTACAACTCCTCCACCAGGCAGAGGCCAATCACTGTTCTGGCAGATGGACACATACACCCTTTAAATCACAAGTCACGGGTTGGACAGTTCTTGTTGTCTTTAGACGTCAGTGTTTTCGATGCAGCAACAAGTGACTCTGTGTTCAGACCTCAGTGTGTTTGTGTTCTGCTGTTATTTGTCATGTTTATACCAATATTCATGTCTAATGCAAGTCTAATATCAGCAGAAAAGAGATATACATGTCTGTTACTATGTGGAGTTTATTTCAATGGCATTTGTAATATTGTAAAGGAAAAAAAATCGTTTTTTTTTAAATAATTATTTTGCACTACTTGTGTGTGAGTGTAAAGTACATATTCATTCCACTGTTTGGTTCAATTTGCCAAAATCCACAAACGAGAGCAAACTTGGGAGACAGCGCGTGCGATCACCAAACTTGTTGACAACATGAGAGCTGCAGCCAACTGTCAGTGTGCAGAGTGGGAACAAGGCATTTATCCAGCTTTATTCTGTTTTTGGTTAAATTATTTACACTTTAAAATGGTAATTTTACAAGGTTGAGGCAAGCTAACCATTTTTTTAACCACTAATAATGAAAACTAATACTTATAATGAAAGGTTTAAGCACGTTTGTATTGTTTGCAGCCTCTCGCGAGAGCTCATGGTTGAGCTATGAGCTTCTGCACGTATACACACACCGTTGAGGTTAAGCTATTGAAAAATGCTAACTTTTTCTGGCAAGTTCCGTAAGGTGACGCTTTTCAGAAAACAATTTAAACCAAATATAAAGCCGCGAGAAATGTACAGAGAAAGCGTAGCACTCCTCAGGTCTTACCTCCAGGCGTGGTGGAGAAGAGGGTCCCACCGGGTGTCTGGCTGTAACAGTCTGGTAGCTGGGACCAGTCCTTCAGGGTGAGCACCCTGGTAGGGATGGGGCAGCTCTTAACTTCCTTTGTGCCAGTCGACATGCTAGCTTCTGCGTGGCTGCTGCAGGCGGAGTGGGGCAAGTGTTTGTTCGTTTTTTTTTTATTTAGAAGTCCTCAAACTCGCCGTGTAATGCTCGCGCACAACCCTGCACGAGGACAAACAACTTGACAAAAAGTTGTTGGAGTTTAAAAACTAACAGTTGCCGATGTAAAAGTTGTTCAGCTTTAACGTGTAAACTGAGAGCTGAAACGGGCTCAGAGTTTGGGGCCCGGTGGTGTCCGTCGCTACAAGCAGCTACCAAACGCTACCATGTGCTGTATTTGTAGCTCCCACAGCTGCAACAGCCACTCGTGATGTTTTTGTGCAACAGCCATGAGCCACGTGGGGCAGCGGATATGTGGGGCGAATGTTTTATTGTAAAAGACAGCCCGGGGGGGGGGGGGTGCTATAGTCGAATAGGAGAAAAAGCTGATGATTGATTATAAAATATACTCAGAACACAATCATATTGACGCGACTGAATGCGTAGCTGTGTTATTTTACACTTAAGGAGAAAATACACTGTTAAAAAGTGGAGATGTAACGTTACCGCCATCTTGTTTTGATACACTCATCATGTATGTGTATATGCAGTATACCGCAACACATATTTCTTATTTTGGTGAATGGACTAAAATGAATGGCCAACACGATGACATGTCTAGGGGACGGGTAGACACGATAGGATTTTCAGAGTGGGGTCAACATTAAGAAATTATCCAGGGTTACTCTGGTGTACAAAACAAGCGCATCTCCACCTCGTCCGTGTTACTCACTCGACGACACTGCCCCCTACAGGCGACATAACGTAGGTAACTGCACGTTTCTCACGGAGACCCTACAGCTGTCGACCTCAAGTCAATCATCGAGGGGTGCGTCCCAAGTCTCTTAAAATTACTGCTAACCACCTAACCTAGCCACCTAACCTAACTGTTTAGTCCCTCCCACTTATGAAAACATTTAAGGAGTTAGGAGTGAGGAGTGAGGATTGCTGATAAGAGACATGAGACGGCCTTAAAGATGGCGGACCTTGAACGACTTCCGGTTAAAGTAAGGAGTTAGGAGTTAGCAGTATAAAATAAGAGACTTGGGACGCACCCAATCTGTCAATCAATAAGGGCTTTATAGGCATTTATCTGTATCTGCTCTATTTTATGAATCAATTTATCTGTCACATATTCGTACCACTAGTATTTATTTATTATCTGTGCCATGTTTGCAGAAGTACTTTGATTGTATTTATTGTAGACCTCTTACCATACTTTGAACCTTGTTCTGATGTTACTACTGTTACCCCGTCTCTTAGGTGATGTCTCATCGTTGTTTAAGAAAAAAAAGGAAATGAAAATAAGAATAAAAGAGGAAGCAAGAATACATGATCCAAAGCTATAATTGCCTTTGGAGTTTTTCTATTTCGTAGGTTTAATATAAGTTTCTACACAGTGAACAGAAAATGGGGACAACAAAATGAGGTAAGACAACTTGTTAACTCCTCATGAAGTCTCTGTTTCCACTGCAAATATAATCCTATAATCCTCTGCATTTATTTTCAATGATAAAATCTTAAGTACTTTGTAATTTCTGCTTCCACTTTCAGTTACGTTCCGGTTTCCTGTGAGGAAGTAACTACTATTTCCCAACCACTTGAGGGCGACATCGTCATGAATACATTAGAGCCACTCTTTTTGTGTGTGTAGTGTGTGTATAGTGTGTGTGTGCATAAACATAGTTGGATGGGTTTTTTGTTTAAGAAATTGGCAAATTTAACTAACTTACTGCAACAGAGGTGTAAATGCAAATGTCAGTGTCACTCACGAATTACAGACCATGCACCCTTATTCTACACTGCTCATATCTCAGATTTTATACTGTGTTGCCTTATTGGCAGCTTACTTTTTTTGCATTACTAATATTTTCACTGTTCCAACTTTGTATTGCAGCTGCTGCAGGGCAATTTCCCTCAGGATACATACATTTTGAACTAATCAGAAGACAACAGGTTCTTCTGACAAGCATCTTCCTTAAAAATTGTACTATGATTGAAAAGAGATCTGATTTTGTTTTGTTGTCTGTTCCTGGTGCACAGACTGAGCTGAGGAAAAAACAAGCAGATACACCTTTTGAGACCTTTGAACCCTGAGCAAATTGCTAAGATTTTTCTCAGAAACGTGGGAAAAAATGCAATGACCAACTTGCAAAAAAAAAAAAAAAACAAAGAAAAAAGAGATTTAGATTTTTTTTTTAAAAAAAAAAAGGGGGGGGGGATACAGGTAGGGAAAAACTATATAATTGTTATCATTCCATTTAAAAATTACATTACAGAATTATTTCCAGATAATTTCCTTGGTGAAGATAAGATTATCCCCACATCTGTTCTGTTATCTAAAATAAACTTTAATAGATAAACGATGTTTTGGTCGTCAGAAAAGTAGCAGTTACAAACATGGAGCATCAAATACACAAACATTTGTGTCAATTACATCTGAAAAAAGGCTATGTTTATTTCCTGTAAGATGTTTTCCTCTAGTGGACGTAAGGGGTACATATCTGTATTAAGAGCGGGGAAAAAAACGGAGGGCAAAGCCACTCCGGTTGCTCATTGGTGGAGAAATATGGAATCAGATGACGTAGTAGTTCCGGGTTTCTATGTCCTCAGGAAAGGTAACTGTCGGTCATTTCTGGGTAGAGACAACTGAGCGTGTTTTCCTCCGCTGAAGGTAAGAACGCCTCAAGCCTGCCAGATAAGCAGGGTATCATTCTCCAGCCGGCCACCGTAATCTCATTACCGCCTTTATCCGTTTGTAGATTTATGTTAGGGTTAATTTGTGTGGCCAGTGTTGAATAGGTTTTAGCTACATCCTTAGTAGCTAACGTTACTTACACTTTCCGCCGTTGCCCAATGATACGAGCTGTACCACTCAACGTGTGGCGGCTTTTGTCATCCTTCCGTTTGCCGCCGGGTTCCTCACCCATTGTCGGGTTACCGCTAAATAACGCAGGTGTATTTGGGTTGTATTAGCCTCACGGGTTATCATGATTTGAAGCTAGCTAACTCCGATAAATTCTTATATTGTGGGTTTAATTTGAACATAGTTATGTTATTGAATGAAGGGGGGGTTCAACTTAAGGTTTAGTAGGTAGAAACACCCCTTCCAGCACTGATTTTGGGCATTTCCCAGCATGTAATGTGATTATTAACAATATCCGTCCAAAATGGCTACGTTGCGTTGCCATGGAAATAGCTCATTCACATGTGATGAGAGACTGGAAATTTTGTCTGATCAGTTCAAGTCTGATGCACCAGGTTGAGTCAGTAACACCACGTCATCTTCATTGACAGACTCATGTGCCTGACACGTTATGCCCGGAACATATTAATATTCATATATAAGGCTAATATTAATGCAAATCGTATTTATTTTTATTTCTTTTTTTTTCACTTTTACACATAAATTACTTTTGTGAGTAATCCTCAAACTTGGTCTTACAAACTGATCTGACTATGTATGATGCTTTTGCCGCTTTGTTTGATTTTCTTTCCTTTTAATGCTGTCTGAATTTATGTTTGCAGGTCCTGGCTTGCTTTGCATTTATGGTGTCATGAAAGCCAAGGCCTGCTGGGCATAACAGCTTGCGTGACACTATAATATAATGTATTCATTTATTAACATTTGTCTAATATTTGCTAAGGTTAATCCGTCCTCCAGGAATAACGTTACTGATGTTTTGTGTTTTTGCAAATTAAGTACTTTGCATGTGTAATTCCTATATACATCAAAAAGTGGGAAAACCAATTTCCGAAATCACTCAGCGATATTTGACAGCTGTTTTACATCAACGGGAGTGTCTGCCATAAAGCTGTCATTACGCAGGAAAGTAATGTGGTCTACTACAGTCTGACCCAAAATGCTCTCTGCTGCAAATGTTCTGGTGTTCCAATGTAGCAATCTTCATTTATATTCTTGAGCATAGTCAGATTTTTTTCTATAGATATGCAAGACTTGTGTGACGCAGGATGGAGCTGTGATTCACCGAAATGTGAATCACACCATGTTTGAAGTGAGGCCTTTAAGATAGGAGGGGGCTGGTTACATCAGCACACTAGTGACTTGTTATTTATCATGAATTAGATAAGGTATAGCTAAGTAGAGAGATGGCCATGTTCGCACATATAAGAAGCTTTTTGTTGTAAAATATAATAAGCCTTTTGTTGTATAATACTGAAGAAGTCACGTCTTTCTGTGTCGGTTGTGGTGACATGAAAGGCGTTCCACATGACAGCTGTAAGCTACAATTCCCTCATTTCACAGAGGACGGTTTCATCCCTTTACTTGTTTGCAGCTGGTTCTGTTTACTCTGATGCTGAAAAACAGATACAAGCTCAACATTTAGTTGCATCACTTTTAATTCCTACACCTCTCTGATGCTGAAAACAAGTTATAAAAGTGCAACATTATGTTTGGTCAGTTTTAACTTCTTCACCTTCCCTGCATTGTAAGGCCATTATGGAGCTTAGCTTGTCCTTGGATGGCCTTTCACTGACTGCCGAGTGGGGTGAGCTTCAAGAGTGTTGTCATTGGTTGTCGCGCAGCTCAGTGCTCTTCAGCATACTACCCTTTATGTTGAGGGACAAACACTACAAGGGAGGCAACTTGGATTGCTGAAACACACCCTCAGAGGAGGTCTGACATATAATTAGGCATTGAAAGCTGACAGACATACAGAGGCTTTTTGGTACAGAGCAAGAAGGAGGTGAGTCTAACAAGTGCTGAGTGTGTGTATATCTTAGTCAGCGTAGTGCAGTCATAGCGGATGTAAGAGGAGGTTGCCAAGGGATTGGGTAAATAAGTTTAAGATGGTAGATGAACTTTAGTAAATGGTTGCTGACATCTTTAATTCTCAAACCACTGCTTGTTAGGGTTCTGTTTTTTTGTGAGACGTGTGCCACTAGACCAACTTAGTGAAATATCAGACTTCCTCTTCCAGACAGCTGTTGGCACATGACTGATATTTGGGGTGAAAATTATTCCAGACTTTTGACTTGTAAAACGCTTTGATTAATGGTGGTTATTTCATATGTCCTCAATAAATACACTTCTTTTCTGATTGTATTTTCTGTTTTATTCCAACTTTAGGTGTAAAAGCGGACCACGTATTTTCATACAACGGTTGTGGGATTCTTACGTTTGTCTACTGTGGGGGCTTTGTTGTTTTTGAGGCTTCCTGTCTGACTCACATCCAATATCTTTGGAACCAGCACATTTCTAAACAAGTGTGATCACCACTGTTGCTCAGTTCTCTTCCACACATACTCTTCCCAGAGAACAGTATGGTTCTCCAGTCAGACTCTGTCCTGCAATCTATTCTTCTATTTCCAATCCACCTTCTGGTATGGCTGTACTCTGTTCTGTCCTTCCTTCCCTGGTACTACATCACTGGTGCTGGGGAAAAAAAAGCTCTGTCCAAGCGGATAAAAGCCCGTTCCACTTCAGGCTGTGCGGAGGGACCGTACCGCTCTGTGGACCACTTTGATTCCCTGGCCAGGGAGGACTTCCCCGGCAAGGACACGCTAGACAAGCTGTTTGAGTATGCTGTGCAGCGTTTTGGACAACAACATTGTCTCGGCACCAGAGATGTACTGAGCGAAGAGAACGAGATTCAACCCAGCGGTAAAGTATTTAAAAAGGTAAGGATTCCCATTATTATATATATGTTTTGGGAGGGTGCTGCTCGTGTGGAGAAAGATTTCTGATGTCGCAAAACTGTCACTCTCCCCTGCCAGCTGATCCTGGGGGACTATAGATGGCTCTGCTACAATGAAGTGGACTCCGCAGTCAGTCAGTTTGGCAGTGGACTAGCAGCCCTGGGGCAACAGCCCAAAAGCATGATTGCAATCTTCTGTGAAACTAGAGCAGAGTGGATGATCGCAGCCCAGGCATGCTTCAAGCACAACTTCCCTTGTAAGTACACTGCAGTATGTATAGTCCAGTACAAGCTGTTGTGTAAGCTGTGATAAATTAGCTGTTGTCCGAATGATTTCACCCACCGAGTGTTGTGTGTTTACAATAGTGGTGACATTCTACGCTACACTGGGAGAGGAGGCGATTGCATACGGACTGAACGAGACTGGAGTTACCCATTTGATCACCAGTGTGGAACTGCTCGAGCATAAACTGAAAGTGAGTTAATCCATTACAATGCAACATCAGAACAGCTCCCTCTGATTTCAAGAGACGCAGTGTTCAAGCTATGGTCATGAAACAAGATGTCCATCCATATAAGTAGCCGCGATAATCATAATCAGATGATTCACACTAATTACATAATTTCATCAACAGCAAAGTTGGTGTGGGGAATCCAGAAAAATGTAGCATATTGCCTGCAGTCACACAGATGGATGAATGCATGTGTTACAGTAGGAAGCATTATAGTCTATTATGTGATCAGTTTTGCCGCATTGTTATATGTTGAAGCTGGTGTAGCTTTCTGTGTAAAGAAAGGTCAAATTTATATGGAATTTTCAACACAGTCTTCTTGAGCCATTTTTAAATAAAGAACAACAGAATCTGGACTGTGTCAGGACAGGTAAGTGTGATAAAGGTCAGGAAAACACAGTTTGGGAAATCAGAGAATTTATTTATATTTAATTTATTTAGGCTCTGTGTATATATTTGTTTAAAATCTTTGCATATCTTTGGAGATTGTGTACTCAAGATATGATCAAAAGGAAAATAAATAAATGATGTTTTTTGTTGTAAAATAATTTCTATGAACATAACATGTCAAACAACATTTTTACTTTAAGTACCTCCTGCAGATGATTATTTTATTAAGTTGGTCAAGTTGCTGCCACTTAAAAGAATATGTCAGCAAATATGGAGCTAGATACCGTTCTTATTTATAAAAGGAAATCGTGTGATTGGGCGTCCTGTTTTGATAGCAGCTTTGTCCCGTCCCTCTGTCCAGAGAGTGCTTCCAGATATCCCGAAACTGAAGCACGTGATCTACGTGGACCAGAAGAAAGTGAGCACAGAAGGCTACCCAGCGGGACTGTCCACCCACAGCATGCAGGCCGTACGAGAGCTGGGCGCGCTGCCTGAGAATAGTGCGTATTTGTCTGACCCACCTTGCTTGTGCTTCTTTGTCAAATTCTGGGGTGAAAAGCCTCACACATACTGTATAAGACAATAAGTTGTTTGTTTGTCTTGCAGTGGAGCAGGCCATTGTGAAGCCCCAGCCCTCTGATCTGGCCGTGGTGATGTACACCAGTGGCTCCACAGGCAGACCCAAAGGCGTCATGATCGTCCACAGTAACCTAATCGCTGGAATGACAGGCCAGTGTGAACGCATCCCTGGACTCGGGTGAGTTTTAGCATTGTGTACGTATGTATGACTTAGTATAACAGAGTTTGAAGCCAGGGTTCACATTACCCCAGCCTCACAGCTCTTACTGAAGAGCACATCTTTCCAGTGGTTCTCTGCATATTCCAGCTAAAACATTGAATTATCAAATAACATGATAACTGCAAAATTTTCCACATAAATTTGAGTAAGGACAGGTTCCCGGCAGCAGAATAACCACCACGTGTCAGCTATCTAGAGGTGTGCGGAGATGGATTTTACATCTTTTAGACTGTGCTATTTATATTCACAAGCTGTAAATCACACTCAAAAATGCTTGGTGTGGCAACTGGATAGAGGAACGGAAAACATGTAGTGGCTGCTGGCTCTAACCTTTACTTTCTCTCCATGTGTTTTGGCAGGCCTAATGATACTTACATCGCCTATCTGCCCCTGGCTCATGTTCTGGAAATGACAGCTGAAATCTCCTGTGTCACATATGGCTGTCGGATCGGCTACTCGTCCCCACAGACGCTCTCAGACCAGGTAATACCCAGCATCAACACCAGGCTGTCTTGTATTTGTCATGCTATATTTCCTAATAGCATACCTGGGTGTGGTTGTGTGTCCACATTATTGCCATTAGCTTAATCATTGATGCTGTTTGATGCAATCGTGCTCTCTGTTTTTTTTATCCTGCTCCCTTTAGTCCACTAAGATAAAGAAAGGAAGTAAAGGAGACTCCTCTGTACTGAAACCCACCCTGATGGCAGCTGTGCCAGTAAGAATTCTGCTTTAAATTCTTCCCTTTGTCCATCACTCGCTACTCTGTTCTCCCTCTTCCTCATTTTCCACCTCTCTCTGTTTGCTCAGTTTTACTCACATTTTTAAACCTTTACACTTTAAACCACTCGTCATTAAATGTATACATTAACGCTTCTTTTTTCCTCCTGCCTTAAAAGGAAATTATGGATCGCATCAACAGGAATGTGATGAGCAAAGTGCAGGAAATGAATTTCATTCAGAAGACGCTGTTTACACTGGGCTACAAATATAAACTGGAGCAGATTAAGAGGGGCTATGACGCACCACTTTGCAATGCGTAAGAAACCACCATGTCTCCTATCAGTGTCCTTTCGAAATGCATTTGTGGTGTTCCAGTTGAATATCAAACGCACAACAATCTGTCTTTGTAGCCTGTTGTTTCGGAAAGTGAAGAAACTGCTGGGAGGACATGTGAGGATGATGTTGTGTGGAGGAGCCCCCCTGTCCCCCGTTACTCAGAGATTCATGAATGTATGTTTCTGTTGTCCAGTGGGTCAGGGCTACGGCCTCACTGAAACCTGCGGAGCTGGCACCATCACAGAGGGTAAGATTAGGTTTAAAATATTGACAAGTAAGAGAGTGTAACGATGAGAATGAATAATTATGTTAATAAGATATTGTGTCTTACTATGCAGTTGTGGACATCAGCACTGGTCGTGTCGGAGCTCCTCTTATTTGCTGTGAGGTCAGACTCAGAGACTGGGCTGAAGGTACAGTAGAAAAACCTGCTGGTACATGCTGTAATTACAGTGCGGTGTGAGAAGTATTTTTTAATTGCAGTATAATTATACAGTGGCTGTGAGAGTTCAACTCAGTGCAAGTAGACTCAACACGAGCAAATGACGAAAACATCTTCACCAACTTCACGACACAAAACATTAATTTGATGACAGGTGCTGCATATAGAAAAAAGAGAAAAAAAAGTGATGCACATGGCTTGTTGTTGCCATGTTTTTTTGCTTTTGAAGCTCTTGGAGTTGGCTTTATATCAATGGTGTTGGAAAATCATCTAAAATGTAAAGATAGTGATCAAAAGTTAGATATTACTGCAGATTGCAGGTCTGCTGTTAACATAGCGTTAGCCTGTTGTTAATTATTAGACTGCCAATTCAGACAAATTTATAGCTCCACAGGCCAAGTTATCTGACTAGTGTCAGTATCCTCCAACAGGAGATTAGTTAATTTAAGGGATTGTCAGCTATGGTTACCTAATTATTGACTGATGAACAAATTAAAGCTACAGTTGGTAACTTTTATAAGGAAATAACTTTTTTCATATTTGTTGGAACTGTCATTGTATTCACCCTAAATGCACTAAATGAGACCGATAATCTGTGAAAAAAATCATAGTCCTCAATAGGGATAGACCGATATAGATTTTTTAGGGCCGATGCCGATACCGATTTTTTTCCATCACCCTTAGCCGATGACCGATTATGGACTGCCAATTTTCTTGAGCCGATATTTGGGGCCGATACTGCTTTTGCTCCCTCAATTTACATCAAAAAAATGACACAATGATAACAAATATTTCAGGTCTCAAGTTTAAAATAAGAAACATTTATTGAATAGTAAAAAATACTAAAACAAGATGGAAAGTTGAGGTAGAACAGGTAGAATATTATTATTATTATTAATATTATTGTTATTATTATTATTATTATTATTATACATTCAAATAAAAAAAAAGAGTTCAGTGCTCTTAAATCTTCCAGTAATGTCTTTATAAAATAAACAAATATTTAAGCTGAAGCATAAATAAAACAACAACTACTGTACACAGTAGCATTCAACAGCTTTGTTCAACTTAACCACATACTTTCAAATGAAAAAAAGTGCGTATCGCGCGTATCGGCCGATGTCGATACAAGTAAAAAAAAACCTCAAATATCGGCCCGATATATCGGCCTGCCGATGTATCGGTCTATCCTTAGTCGTCAAACTACACTTTTGCCTTTTAGCGCTTCTATACCTCAAGTTAACGAAAAACACCAATCGGAGCAGAGGAGACTTCAGTCAAACTTTCAAACTAGTCAGCTATATTTGAGTGTACTGCCGAGAGAGTTGGAGAAAGTTTTCCCTTCTAAAAATATTCAGTTTGATCTATTGTGACCCAATACATTGGGTCAATACATTGTCAGAAAACCTACCAGTAGTTAAACTTGCCTATCGCCATCACCGGTTCCAAAAGTAAGTAACGTTATAGCCCGCTAACTTAACATTAGCTTGTTTCATAATTAATTGCATGTTATTTGTCAGATTATTTGAATTGGCAATCTAATAATAAGCAACAGGCTAATGCAAGGCTAACAGCAGATATCTGCAATAATATGTGAATCATGTATTTGAACAGTGTTGAAATAAGACAAAAAATGTACAACGATAGTCGAATTCAATAACGTAAAAGCCGAAAACCATGGCAACAACAAGTATGTCCCAGCTGTGTGCATCACTTTTAGTGTCTCCAGGAAACAGTTTCTGTTGTGTTGTGAGCTTCCTGCAGTGCTTTTTCTATATGCTTGGCATGCACGGTCGAGCTGATGTTTTTGTGTTTCATCAAGTCTGTGAATATTTTCTAAATGCTGCACGTGTCATCAGGTTGGTGAAGATGTTTCTTCATTTGCTTGTGTTGTTTGACTGCCACTGTTTAATTCTATATTATTCAACTATTTTATTTTTCACTTTCTCACAGGTGGTTACACCAGCAAGGACAAGCCACACCCAAGAGGGGAGATCCTTATCGGCGGTCCCAATGTAACCATGGGTTATTACAGGCATGAAAGCAAGGATCAGGACTTTTTTGTGGATGAAAAAGGTCAGAGGTGGTTCTGCACTGGAGATGTAGGAGAGATCTACGCAGATGGCTGTCTACAAATAGTGGGTGTGTATGTTTTTTCTGTGACTTGTTGCACTTATCTTGAGCCCATGGTTGTCATCTGATAGTGTCTGTAAAAGGAGCACCATTCATACATGATTTCATAGCGCTAATCTGCTGTCAGTGTGGTTGCAACTTCTGACAGGCAAACTGTTGGGTGCTTGATAACAGAGCAGGGTTGTGAACTGATTTAATCTTTTCTCATTTAGACCGCAAGAAAGACTTGGTCAAACTGCAGGCCGGAGAGTACGTGTCTCTTGGTAAAGTCGAGTCTGCTCTGAAAAACTGCTCTCTCATAGACAACATATGTGCTTACGCAAACAGGTGAGTAAACTGCCCTCATTTGTTTAGGAAAAACTAAAGTTGTCCGTTGCCTCTTTTGCATATCCATATTTAGGAATACTTGGACAAAGCACGCAAACTAATATTTGTTCACTCTTACAAATAGTCTCTTAGTTCTTGTATTCAAATCTAGTTAAAATATCAATATTTGTATTTGTATTTCATAGTTACAGCCACCACTGCCCTCCCCTCCCTAAACCCCCACACATGCTGTTGGCTGACATTGACAGTGTGAACATTGGAGAGTGAGCAAAGTGGTAGCCTGGAAAATTTGAGCTGAGAGGTGGATGATGACTCTATTTTATTATTATTAAACCTTTATTTAACCAGTTGGAGACAACATAGAATAACTAACTGATCAAAGGCAGCAGTAGACCAGCTACTCCCCTTGTTCTGCAAGGTAAAGGTTCTGTTTCTGTCAGGAGTCTGGTTGCTGTGGACGGGGGCAGCAGCAAAATGTATTTAGGCTGCCTACAAAAGGACAACCTAAAAAAAATTGATAACAGTTGAAGTGTACACTATATTTAGATTATTATTACTGCTTCACCTTGCCATCTGACAGTCCTGTCCAACTGGAAACTGAAGCTGCTCTTTCCTGCTTTTCAAGTCCACCAGACTCCACTGACAATAACGGCAATTTAATCTCGCAGAACATGTGGGTCTGGTCTGCCACTGCCTTGATCGTTCAGTTTGTGCGCGTTATTGTGTGACATTGGAACCAAACTAATGTGGTGTTCTCAGCAGTACACTGCTTAACATCAGTGCCCTATGCTCCTGTTTGCTTCTCCAAACTCACAGTGTAAGATCAAGAAAACTTGTTTATATGCGTCAACGTCATCGTTTTTAGAAGTGCTGGGGAAAATAGCATTTTGATGTGAAATCATGTATTAGGAACAGTAATGGAAAGCTAAAGAATGATATGAAAACATCGAAAATAAATAAATAATGAAGCTGCCCTCAAATATTGTATAATCACCCCAGGCCCACCCTGACCTTCTCATGCTAACAGGTAATTGCTCAAGATATCCCAGCAATATCAGCTGTGTGCTTCTCAACTTTTCCAGCTCATATATTGTCCTTAAAGTCACAGTCCACTTCTGTATTAATTCACTTTTGCCATTCCATATCAAACAATATTTCAGCTGCATTCATCGTTCTCTTCAGCTGACACTTGAGTTACTATCCCTACACTTGCACCAACATTTCAAACCCCTTCAGGTCAACTTCTACAGCTTCAGACGGGAGACGGGAGGATGGTCTTACACACTTTTCAGACTTTGGAAAGTGTTTAAGCCCAACTTATGGGCGGCAGTAGCTCAGTCCATAGGAACTTGGTTGGGAACCGGAGGGTCGCCTGTTCGAGTCCCCGTCTGGACCAAAAATATGGAGCGTGGACTGGTGGCTGGAGAGGTGCCAGTTCACCTCCTGGGCACTGCCGAGGTGCCCTTGAGCAAGGCACCGAACCCCCCAATCACTCGGGGCGCCTGACCAAGGGCAGCCCCCTCCCTCTCTCCACTTTGTGCATGTATAGGTCCTGTTTGTGCATGTGTGTGTCTTTCGAACCTGTGTGTAATTGACAAGCAAGAGTGAAAACATTGAATTTCCCCTCAGGGGGATTAATAAAGTAAATACACTTAAATAAACTTCTACTATTCATACACAGTTTACTCCAGCTGTCTTTAGTCCTTACACTTAAGCTGAAACGTCAACAGACTTCTTTCAGTAGATGCACAGTTAGATCACCACATGCTGCTCACCGCTCCCTCAGGGGATGGGTCAAATGCGGAGAACAAATTTCACACACTCAGGTGTGTGACAATCAGTGGGACTCCGCTCGGACGCCGGCATCCACACTCCCTCCCTCCCTCCTCTGTTAAATGGTATCTCACAGGCGCACTACGTCATCAAACCATGTGATGTCCCGCCTAGAAGTGGGATCACAACTTTCACGTTTCATATGGCTTTATTTGGTGATATTTTATGGTGTTTCTGTGTCATAAACAACATCAGCTATCATAATCACACCTGATTTCAATAAGGTACAATGTTTGAAGCTGGCTGAGTGTTGTTTGATCACTGATAGTACTGTTTTGAAGCAGAGTGAGCGCGCTTGTCATTTGGAGCTCCGCCTGTATCTTTGCATGGAAAAAAACACTGTAGAATGGTCATACTTTGAGCAATCTTCTTCAAATTTGAAACAAATGTTCATTGATAGTGTGCCTACAGCACCACAATGTCATTTACCTGCTCAGATGACACAAACAGTTAATAATCCTGAAAATCATTTTATTTTATTTTTTTTAAGCAAAATCTTCAACTTTTTACTGACTTCAGAGGCCCATTACTCTGTGTCTGTATCACCTAGAGTGTTTCTGACACTTTCACAGGAAACTTCAGGGAGTTTTCTTTCTGGCAAGACCTCATGCATGCATGTAGTCAGAGTGGTTCAGAGGCTACAGTCATTTTAATTTGGGTTTGTCATTTTAGGGCGTTTTCGCTACAAAATGGGGGTGGAGTGCTTAACTTGAACTGTCACGAAATTCTTCCAGGATTTCCACTTCAACTGACTTGACGAAGCTTTGACTGACATTTCAGCTCCTTTCAGTTCTTGAACTTCAAGTGATACTTAAATTTTTGTCAGCGCTTACAGTTAAATTAACACTTCCTTTGGTATTATCAGTTAAATTAAAATTGCTTTCCTTTCTAACTATTACAACTTTCAGTTTTGTGTTTTGAATGCCACTTCAACTATGACCTCAGTTGATTATTTCAACTGTTCTAAATGTTTCAACTGCAAATTTTCAGCAGTGACTGCCCACATTTTTCTCTGTCGCCTTTTATCAACCTTGTTTGTATTCATCTTTCCAGTGATCAGAACTACGTGATCAGCTTTGTGGTCCCCAACCAGAGAAGGATGACAGCACTGGCCAAGCAGAGAGGCATAGAGGGGGCATGGGAGGAGATCTGCACTCACCCCGACATGGAAAGAGAAGTTCTGAAGGAGATCAAGGAGGTTGCTGCTAACAGTAAGAAATGCCCATGTGTTTTCATGATATTGTGTTATGGCTGCATTAATCATTATTACTTTTATGCATACTTCTTCTATCCTTATCTCTGCCAATACATGTTCTTGATGCTGTGAACCAATATTTTAGAAGAAAAGAGCGTTGGGCCTCATTCCTCACGGTCTTCGGAAGTTGTTTTTTTCTTAAATAAGATCTTGAGAAAGGTCCTAAGAGAAGTCTACGTCAGATTCATGACGTGTTCTTAAATGGCAGAGTTGTTTGCACATTTTTTTGATAATGAATCCCATTGTCCTGGTAAACTGAAACCATATGGCAGCTGTACCTAATCATCAGAGGTAATGCCCTGCCAGTTAACACCAAACAAGCTCAGTAGTGGATACAAAATAACACAAAAGATTCATGCAATGCTCGTTCATTGAAAGCTGTATCTGGTGAAGGACATATAATTGATAGAGAAAAAAAAGGTTAAATCAGGAGACGCACACCAAGGGACAGGCTTGCCCTTGTTACTCAAAAAGATCTACATGGTCCTGGAAGATATGATCTCTCCTCAGGGCACAATTTGCAACATCTTGATGCATCAATAAATATGCGATTGTGCGAGTAGACCGAGGGTGTAGGAATAGGCCTATTAGGACCTAGAAATAGTGAGGGATATTTCTAACAAGTAATTTCCCTGATGTTTTCATGGAAGTTTAAACTTGGACCAGTCAACTAGTCTTTAAGTAAGAAAACACAGAAGATAGAAAAATTAGGCGCATTTTTTTCTGTACGGTTAAATACTGTCTCAATTTTTTTTTTTTTTTTGCATACATCATAAGAGCCATTTGTAATCTTAATCACATTTTTAGAGACAAATCATATTGTAAGTGAAGCTGATATGCGTGGCACTTTGCACCATGGGTTATGAACTTTAACTCATGAGAAAAAATTAAAATACTGCCAAACTTGTTGTACAAGATTTCATTATTACATGATTACATGAATAAAATAATAATTTCAATAATTGGTTTAACTGACCAGTATTTCTGGTGCCGACTAGATATGGTAGCATCGTTTAGTCAACTAATTGTGTACATCCCGATGAATATCGTGATCAATCACAAATTGATGGCATGGTTCCCAAATAACGTAATTGATGTGATTTGAAGTGTTCAAACTACGAGCGACGCAGCAACAGCTTCATCAGCTACAATATCGCCAAGTCCCTGTTGAAGTGCTGCTTAAACCCTTGTTGACATAGTTGCGTTGTGACGGGCTTGTGTGTGTCTGCTACTTGCCACAAAGCAACTCGACTAAACGTCATCCAAAGTTTGTATGTGGTTGAAAAACATCTATACTTTTAATCAATATCTGAGCTCCATTTTATCATCACATTTCACCGCCTCTTTGCACTCCATGTGCACTGCAATCCACATAAAGCTAGCATAACATCAGCTAACTAAGCTAACAGTGCCACAAGTTGAGACAAAAATGTATGATTAATTGACGTCATACAAACGCTGAATTAAGTTGAGGCCAGCTCAGCTTTTACATGTAGCACATCATGCCTGTCAGTAGCAACACGTGTCGGGCGTCACCAGCTTCCATTGAAAATAACTTGCAGCCTGTTGCCATGTCGCTCCCAGTGTGAGCACAGCTTTAGGGTTGTGTTTTATTTATTTTAAAAGAACATAATGCTTTGTAAAAGACTCGAAACAATTATTAGAAATATTATAAATGATTTGATTAAAATCCTATAATTGTATACAAGTATAGAATTTAAAGAAAACACAAGCTCTTGAAGGTGCATAGATTCTGTTCTTACCTGAGAACACAAACAAGTCAATATAAAAAAAAATAAAAATTCAATTTCAGAATCTTCATGAAAACTTTGTAAGTGTGTTAAACAGTGGGTGAATGAGGCACATTGTTCATTGAACTATACTGTGAACATCACCATTCTCTTCCCCTTCACTTTTAATCCCTACAGTTAGACTCCAGCGATTTGAGATTCCAATGAAGGTACATTTGAGTCCAGACCCGTGGACCCCCGAGACAGGCCTTGTCACAGATGCGTTCAAGCTGAAGAGGAAAGAGCTGAAGAACCACTATCTCTACCACATAGAGAGAATGTACGGAGGCAAATAAGTTTGCCAAATTTCACCCAAAAGTCTCCCCATTGTCACCATAATCACTGTTTTGATCTGTAAGTAATCTTCCTGGTACACCAATGGATTTTAATGCTGTCTGTGTACCACAGGCGTCCAGATGAAAATGTCTTGAAGAGAAAAGCTGAAGCTGTAGATATTTGTAGCTGTTTATCCATATGTGCTGCTTTCTATTTTTGTGTGTAGAGGTTTTGATTGTCAAAGAAATGCACTCAAGTGGCAACTCTTAATCCATGAGAAGGGTCTGCGGCCATTATAGCACTAAACTGCCATCCACCTAAATCTCCTGGCTCTTAGTTGTAGTTGATTAAAAAGCACCACTGTCCTCCATATGTCGCTGATGCATTGTTGTTACTCCCATTGAAAATATTAACAACTGTAATCACCGTGGAGGCTTGTATTGCTCTTTTGTAAAGTTGGAGTACTGATGTTACTGTGCCTTCAGTCTGCAGTACTTGTGTAGTCAAGCAGAGGTGGCATCTAGATAAAGCAAGTAGTTTACGCTTTTGTTACAAAACTGGTTAAACTGCTATTGTTATGTTTACTTGAGGAAGTGTCTCCAACCCAGAGATACACTGACATGCATCATATATACAGACAGGTGACAAATTAAAGGAAAAACCAACACAATGTGTCATAGAACGTCATTCTAAAATCTTCTCAAGGTGTTCCACTAGGTGGAGATGTGATGACTGTGAAGGCCACAGCATATGATTCAGATCATTTTCTTACTCAACAAATCACTCAGTGACCTATGGATGGGGGTGTTGTCATCCTGGAAGAGACCACTCCTATCAGGGGAGGAATGTTTTGACATCGGATGAAAGTAGTCACTCAGAAATTTGTGCTGATTTGCAGCGACCCTTCCCTCTGAGGGGACAAGTGGACCAAACCCATGCCAGCAAAATGCCTCCCATAGCAAAAAAAGAGCCACTGAATCTCCCACTGTAGGGGTCACACACTCAGGCCTGTGCCGTACTCTTGGTGCACTCACCCAGAATGACTCATCTGACACCCCTGTAGACGAGTGCCTCTGTTTTTTCACCACTGAACTCCTAAATGTTTATTTATTTTTGTAAAAAGGGGTATATGCACCGCAACCCTACTGATTTCCGTCTCTGTATAATTGTTGCTGCTCTTGCTGACGGTCTGATCACGTCCTGCGTCAACATTCAAAATCACCTAAAGATGAGTTGGTCCTGTTTTTCTTTGCATATTGCACCAATGCACAAACAACACGGTCATCAAATGGTCGCTATCGACCACGGTTTCAACCATATTTTCTTTTCTTTCCCATAGATCTGAATGCAGATATTCCTTCAATGACGGTTCTGACTGAAACACTAGCTAGTTAAGCAGTCTTTGAACCTGCTTTCAAAGTCACTTGGAGCTTTTCCTCTTTCATACAATAGGATGTTAATTGCCACTCACTGATTCAGGTTTTTCCTTCGTCACCTGTCTGTAGAATAAAACATACTCGTGATCATGTCTGCTTATCCACCTATTTTTTTTGTTTTGTTATCAGTGTTTTATTTATGCTGTCATTGTGTCCATTTTTTTCAGAAAGTAAGACCAAAATGTATAAACATAAATGACTCAGGAAGATAAGCAAATGTTTTAATATATGAAATTGTCAATAGTTGGTTTGTAAAGAAAGCCCCTTTTGTTAAAAATTGTCTTGTGGGCACCTCATTTATTTAAGAGCAAGCATGCTTAACTATTAACCAACTGCTCCGATGCTTTGGATAGTCATACTGTGCATATTTTACCTCAGTTAACAGGTTAATGTACAATTTGCTATCATCGGGTTATCTAAGGTGGAGTCATTGTAATATTACAGGAGTGTTTTCTATGTATTTTCAAAGTGTTTTCGTGCTGATGGATTGTCATCGTTAAAACTTTAAGGAAGCAGACACTGACAGTCACTTTACAGTTGGTTGTTTGGTGATCGTATTTGTATTTATTATTCCATCATGGCCACATGCCTTGTTCAACATTTAAAAAAAATAAACTTTTTTTTCATAACATGTATAAGACTTTTATTTTGTTACAAAACAGAAATAAACAAAGAGCATCTAGATTATCGCTGCTGAGTGTTTGTACATTTTAGAGGAGAAAGCGGAGACGAAGAGAGCCTCAGCTATTCCAGTCTTGAAATCGGAAACAGTCACTAGCAATCTTCCAAACAGGCTGGTCATTGTTGGGTGACGCCTGAGCTGTCAAAAGAAAGTTCTGGTTGAAGAAACGCTGTTTGTTCCCTTCGAACTTGACCGTCCCACCAGTCACCACAAGCAGTGTAGTCTGACCTTGAGTTGCTTGCTCTGGGAATGAAAAAAGGGTAGCGTGATGCTGGATTAGCACTACTTCACTGAAATAGCATCACATTTAAATTATAACCTAGATATTTTCCCACTTTAATTTATTGGCATTTTAATGCTCTGCTTCACATTCGCACAGTTCTCCTACTTTAAGATGTGAGAATCACCAATAGCACTTAAATATATTTTGGGTTTGAGATTTCCCCACTAACCGTGAACTGGCTGACAATCCAGGGTTTGAACTTGGAACTCGCTCGAAGGCAGTGACTCAAAAAACTCGCCCAGAGCATCCTGTCCTGACACTGCATTCCCGTTCCACACCAGGGTCGCCTTGTCCAGGTAGAGCCGGGTCAAATTCTGTGACAAAGGAGCCAGTAAACAATGATTAAATGATTGAACAAAAATAAAAACCAAAAGCAGAAAATAGTGTGCTCTACAGCCAGGATTTTTCCAAACTTGACAACATAAACATTCTAAATGGATCCCCTTGTATTTATAATACTAAAATGTATGAGGGAGATATAAACCTAGACATAATACACTTTATTTGTTTTTCTTACATGTAATTTTCCAGATTATTTGAAAGGTCTTATTGGCTTTTCTCTTTGTTGTTTTCTTAGAAACAGAGTCAAAGAAGTGTCATAGCTCAGTACAAAACAGTCAGATATTAGGTGTAATATGACGCATGCTCTCCTTGTGGATGTTCTATTTACCAACAAGACATATAAGCTTGACTGCACTGTCAATAGATTGTGACCCTGTGTGACAATGTAGAAACAAGACCATGTCTTCCAATACTGGTGTCAAATCTAATAAAACTCAGATAAATCAACAGAGAAACGTCAAACCAGAATTCTTGAGAGTTATGCACATTGATAGAATAAGTGAGAAATGGATTCAATTTCTTTTTTACATGAAGACCATATTGGAGAAATAGCTGCTTTAATTTTTTATAGTAATGTATTACTGGGTAGTATGTCCAATTTAACCAATACTCTATTAATACTCTACTAAACTTATTTTATATTACTTTGAATGTGGAATTTATTCGGGTCCGACCAAACTTTCTCTGCCAAGATCTCCAGAAAAATGAGTTTCAATAAAAATGAAACTCTGACCTGAGGTCAGGTTGTTTTCTTTTTGATATGGTGATTACTACACATACAACCACAAAGGTCTTTTCATCAATTAAGCTTTTAGAAATTTCCCCAATTCAAGGGCTATATAACAATGCACGTTTGATAAGAAACAGTAACTTTGATGGTGTACTTTTTAAAAACACTGATATATTCTTTCTGAGAAATATCTATACTCTTATCCTGGACAAAGTTTTATATTTGTAGAAGTTGCCTCTATAACTAAGTACATTTAAGACAATGATTACACCCTTATCAATCCATTTTAATGCACCTGGACTTATTTCTAGACACTACAAACTGATTGTTCCACATTAAAATGATGTTTGTAAGCAATTAAGCTTCAAGAGCTTATTTTTGAAAATTACATTCAATTTTGAAGTTGGTTTTAATTATGTTAATGCAGCATCTAACAAGGAAGCTATTATTTCCTTAGTAGCTGACAGGAAGTAAACGCACCAAAGCTGTTGCCCTATAAATTGAATAACATTGAAATCTATATGGGAAGGGGAAAAAAAATCAAATATTTCAGCTGTTTTTTCCCCTTTGGATAGGGATGACCTGGGGCCTGTATCACGAAGCGAGATCAACCTTTCCTGGGTTACCCAGAACCATCCTGGGTTGACTAACCCTAACAATGGCAATCAGGATAATCGGTATCACGACGCTGGATATCAACTCGGTAACTCAACCCAGGGTTGCTTTATCAAGAGCCGTGAACGCACACGCAGCAGACCAATCACAATCATGAGAGAAGCGCAGCGTCACTGAGCGTCCTCACAGAGTGCCATATGTGAGGAAAAAAAGTATTTATCATGTGAGGATCAGAGATTAATTCTACTAAAATATGAGGAGGAGGAAAGCAACATTACAGAAAAGGCCAACACCGTGGCAGCTGCAGGAGGAGGAAACATGCGTGGCAACGCATAACGGGATGAATAATGTTTAGTTTTAGTTTAGATTAGTTTATTTGCAAAAAACAGACAGTATAAAATTTACAAGATTAAAAAAAGAAAAGTGCCGGAGAAGTTAGAAGCCACTAAAAGCTTATCAAAGAAATTCCCCTGTCAAAACATCAATGAAATCACATAATAGAGAAGAAAAAAACGGGTAAGGAAAAAAGAAATAGAGGAGGAGAGAGAGGGAAAAATCAAGACAAAACAAGGTAGCAAATAAAATGATGTGTAGGTTAAATTACTCATCACTGGTTCAAGTAGCTACAGTACCTGTACCTGTACATCTGACACTGATCACACCCTTGAATCCCATGAAATCAATGCTGCGCAGATGAATTGTGTGTATTACAACTATCGTCTAACATCATTGCGTCTGATAAATTGGTCTTCTTTGTCATAACGTTATATATGCTACAATAAAGCTTAAAGCTGACGCCACAATTAAATCATATCAACACCAAATTGATAGTCTGAATAAAATCATCCTGATATTGAGCTGTGTTACAAATTAACAGCTGCGCAAAAATATACCTAGTTTCCCTCTTTAAAAAACAAAAAGGAAAATTCCTCAAACACCATGAAGTGTAGACATGATAGGCTACTTTCCACATTTCCAGCAGCAAAGCTGTCAATTAGGCCCATTATCTTTAACAGGGATCAATTCCTCCAACAACAAAAAAATGTTGGCACTAATTAATGGTGCTATTAAGTGTCCGCAAATGATCAGTTTCTTTCTTATGAAGGGATGGGATGAAAGTTCGACTTCTTTCCACTCCTTTTTGAACAATCTTTTCATTGTCTGTTGTTGTTGCTTTCTTTTCTTTTTAAATGTTCAAAATAAACTTTCAAATCAAATGAATTAAACTTCCCGTCATGACTGGGCTGCATTTCTGTCAGCGGAGTCCTTTTTTCCGAACAGCTGATTGGCCAGTGGGTGGTGCGTTTTATAGGATCAGATTCAACCCTGAACTTACCCTGCTCCGGAGCAGGATAGCCGTCCAGAGTAAGTTACCATGGTGATCTACCCCGATAAGAACTGAACCGGCTTCGTGAGACCGAAAACCCAGGGTTAACCCTTAAGTTACCTCGATGTGTTCAGGGGGACATTTTACAGTTGAAAAGCAAAGTTGTTACTGCTCTCTGGTGACCAAACGATGTAATGGCGTCAGTCACCTCTTTGTCAGTTTTGGACTGTAATTTCCAAACATTGATACACCAATACAGATATATGTAAATCTGAAATCTGCCTGCTATATTGGCCATGTCGATATATCGTCAAGCTCTCGCTCATAACATTATGATTTAAAATAACGTATCTAAGTAACGTTACTGAGGTTTTTTGATTCAGAGAACAAAACAAGACCACCACTCACCCTTCTTTTCTTATCCATACAGTCGTAATAAATGTTGACAAATTCTTCTGAATATCTGCATGATTGGTCGACATGGGTCCTGAAATCCTAGTGTGACAATCACGTATTAGTTAAATGCTGATCACGATTAATCAAATTCAACAAAGTAGTGGTCAGCGACTGGTTAATATAACGTTAAAAGGCGCACGTTGGAAACTAACGCTGGCTAGCAAAACAACGCCCTAATGTTAGTTGACTGATTTTAGCATAAAAGTGTGGCGAAAGTTTAAAACTTACAATCAAGGCTGCCATTAGTACATATATATTGATTGAAACAGCACTGAAATATTGACTGCTATCAGACGGGATGCAGAAAAATAGAGTATTGTTTAAATCGGATTTTCTTATTCTCGTTCAGTTAGCATACTTTAGCTAGCGCCGCCATTTTTTTTTGAATTACTTCCTTCGGGCACCTGCTATTCCTACCAAAGTAAAATGTTTGCATGTTCCTTCGATTGCACTGAAGGCCTCAGACCTCTCACTTTTCAAATTTTGTATTTTTTCGTGACTTAAATGAAATAATATCTTAAATGTAAATAAAATGACGTGGCAAATCAGTCTCACTGTCAGGTGATGCCACTGATAGTATTTTATTTTGAAGAGGAAACACAGCCGGGCGGAAGTGGAGTCCATAATTTCCTGAGTCATTGCTCTCCTGTTTCAAATAGTCTATGGTTCAAACTTGAAACGAATAAACTCCTGAGCACCCCAGCTTGGTTAGCTGCTGTAACATTTGTTTGACATTTACATTATATTTAACAATGGAGGGATCTGTATCAAACGTGGAGGTCTGTAATTTTGCTTACATGGGACAGTTTGAGGAATTAAAACAGTGCATTCTGTCAGATAAAACGCTTGCATGCAAAACGGACCAGGTAAGAAAGCTTGTAATAATGACAGCTTGAAATAATGACACACTGAAGTAATGACAAATGCTAAGTGAAGGTTTCCACTTTTTCCACCAATGTCTGTAATTTCAGGACCGTAGGACCGCCCTGCACTGGGCTTGTTCTGCTGGACACACCAACATTGTGGAGTTTCTGCTTGACCTGGGAGTTGAAGTGAATCTGCAAGATGACGTAGGCCTAATTATTCTGACACTGAATTTTGTTAAATGTTTTATGCAGTGTTTGAGTCCTCTAAGGTGGTAGAGGGGAGACAGGAGCAGACAGGTGCACCCTACAATATAATGTAGTCCTAATACTGCAGCTACCTCTGCAGCGACCTCTTTCACTCCTTGCACCAAAGAAGATTGCACATACAAAAGCCATTAAAATAAAGGTTTTTATGTAAATGTGGAAAATGTACTGACATTTGATTTGATGTAATAGAGCTATTGCAGTGTTATGGGGCTATTGCAGTGTTATAATGATGCCACATGATGGATGGATGGATAGATATACATCAGTTTGATCTAGCATATGAACAGACAGCAATTAATTTGTTTTATGATGACCCCATGTGATGTGTTACTTCGCAGGCTTCATGGACCCCTCTTCACATTGCAGCATCTGCAGGCAGAGAAGCCATAGTACGATCTCTGATATCTAAAGGAGCTCAGCTGAATTCAGTTAATCAAAATGGATGCACCCCTTTGCACTATGCTGCCTCTAAGGACAGATATGAGGTAAGGTTGTCAGGTTGCAGTAAGTTTGGCTGATAGTTTGATGTAGCCTACATGTACATGCCACGCAACTGTGCTATCATGCTTATAATTTCAAATTTGTCTTTCAGGTAGCTTTATACATATAGTTGGAATTAAATGTTATTAATAATTACATTTGGTAGAGTTATATTTTCAATATCTAGATCTATTTATTTATAAATATATTGAGTCATATTTTTTTAGAATACAATGGATAGTTGATTAAGCGATTATTCAAACAATTGTAATGTAGTTGGAAATTATTTTCACAATCAATTGATTATTTAAGTCAAATTTTAAGAAACATTTTGCAGTTTTAGCTTCTTAAAAATGCAAATTGGAAGACTTTCCTTGTTTTATCATCATATTTAATTAAATATATGGATTTTGGACAGTAAATCAAACAATCAAGACACTTGATGACATTACTGTGGGCTAAAGGAAACCGTGATGGACTTTTTAACAGTTTTCTGTTGTTGTTATATCAACCATACAATTAATCAAATAAACAATCAGCAGAGAAATAAATTCCAAAAGTAATTGTTGGTATGGATGGATGGACGGATGGATGATTTTGAATTTATTTATTCATTTTGATTTCGATTTTTGAGAGAGCAACAGCACTATCTCAGAATTGGTTGCATTATTCTGTCATAGCAGTAGTATTACTGGTTCTGAATCTGAACCTGAGGCTACTTTGTTGGGGAAGTCCATTAAAACTCACAGGGGTTCTCCCTACCATTTACTCTGTAACCCCACATTAGTCAGAAGTTTTTAATTAAGACATTTCCCCAACCATGCATTAGCAAACTGTGGACCAGCTTATCACCACACTGAAGTGAGCATATCATTACTTTCTTGTACTGAGGTAAAAGGAGTTAAAATGTGTGTATTTGATATTATCAGTTGTTAAGGAAGTATGTGTTTAGGCACACATTAAGATAGTGAGGAAGTTTATCTTTACAGTTTTATTCCAGAGAACAATTTAATCTGCGACATATGGTTTAATAACTTTGGACTAACATTAATATTATCTTGTCCAAATCCCAACCAGTTTAGTTTGGTATTTGTTTTGCTGTTCAACTGCATATGTATTTCATACTTACAGGCAGAGGGCAGAGTTTCTGCAGATAAATGCGCTGCCACAGACTTCCAGTGGCGTTGTATAAGTTTATACATTTTTTTTGTTGTTGCTGTTTTAAGGAAAATTCTACATGGTACACTTTTTAAATAATTTTCTCTTTGTGAAGTTTAATGGGCACATTGACTGGTGTTTGTCAGGGCCTGTATTGAAACATTTCCCCACTAGTACACAACAGTACAGTACATATATTTCTTGTACACTAACTACACAGTATATACTATATTGTTACAGTTGTTAGTATTTAGTATAGGATTGGATTGGAAAACAGAAAATTGCTGTACATTCTTCACCACTGCAGAGGGTGAGAACTTACGTACATATAAGGACATCTAAATTAGAAATGCATTTACTGGAAAAAAATACGTCATTTCCACGGACTTTCACTCATGAACTGTGGCATGCCACACCGGAACCAACAGGACAGGATCTGAAAACGTGAATGTCTTGTGAATGGGAAGTTGGTGAGAAGTTGGTTACGCTGCAGTGACTTGTGAGTAACATGGCTTTCCCTCTTTATAGATTGCCCTGCTGTTGTTGGAAAATGGAGCAGACCCCAATGTCACTGATAAGTATCAGTCCACTCCCCTGCACAGAGCGTCTTCCAAGGGAAACTACCGGCTCATCCAGCTGCTTCTCAAACAGAGTGCCTCAACCAACATCCAGGACTCACAGGGCAACACAGCACTGTATGTGTGAATAAGTATTTGTCTTATACACCATTGTGGCTGCTGGTACAAACATACATGTGCAGCTGAATACTGTAGGCTGAAATGAATAAACACAAACCCTTAAAGTTTGCTTCACCCAAATTTAAAACATGTTTTATTACTTCCTGTAGTAATATTCAGTTATCCAGATTGGTTTGGTTTATTCGCTTTAAATTTGAGATATCAGTCTTGGAGATTTATACGTCTGCCCTAATGTAATGGAGGTAAATGGGTTTTAATTTGTGGTGCTTTAAACACCGAAAAAATTAAAAAGCAAAAGGCATTTTTACATTGACAATTCCTCATGCATTTTTTTTTTTGTTACCAGCCACCTGGCGTGCGATGAGGAGCGAGTGGAAGCAGCCAAGATGCTGGTGGAACATGGGGCCAGCATCTACATTGAGAACAAGGAGGAGAAGACCCCCCTCCAGCTAGCCAAGGGCGGTCTGGGCAATCTACTTCGTAGGATTGTGGAGGGATGATTTATTTACGGACCTACAGGTCATGCTCCAGCTCGAATCCCCACCATTGCAAGTTACATAATGAGAATTCTCATCCCAGTCAGTCCTCCCCGAGCGGCCTGGTGTGACACATTCAGATGTGTAACAGGTGGAAGATGAGATGGTGTCATGGAGAAAAGTTGAACTGCATTGCATTGTTGTCAGCTCCTCAGATGGGGCAGTGAACCTGCTCGGACCTTAGATGTCTGATCAAAAACACTCGTACACTAAGTGCAGTCTATCCAACACTGCCGCCTATTTTCTTATGAGCTTTTTCTTTTTAAGTTTGAATCGTTGCAAAATTGACCAAATAAAAAGTGTTCAGCCTGTTAATAAAGTCGATTTAGGGTGTATCATTTTACATGTAAGCATTGGATCCAGGAAATGTTAATAATTTCTGGCCATGTCCTGCGGGATATATCTGGCTCTTTAGCTGTTAATGCTCTACTATGTTTACCAGCCAGTCACTAACTTTGTCTGTCTGCTGTCTGGTGTTGAGCAGGTTGTGTAGAGCAGTTTTTTGGAGCTCATTTGCTGAGAGCCTTGTGCGGCTGAAAATGGTGGGGGAATGACCCAAAAACCATCTTGGGCCAGCTCAGTGGATTTCAATCTTGCTGTTAAGCTCTGTAAAGCCAAAAGGACCAAGAGTGAATCCTTTACACTGTTTTCATGTTGCCATTTGAAACAGTGTTATTGTTTAAAAAAATGCTTTCCCAGTTTTAAGCTTAAGTAATCTGTGTCTCATAGACCGTGACCTTTGATTTAATGGTTAACAGGGTCAATCCTGTTTCAAAATACTTAAAATCTTCGATGAAGTCATTTCTTATCAACTAGCCTATATGTAAACATCCACATCATTTCATCCACACTGACCTTTTCTCATGTATAACTCGTGTATCATTGCTGAATTATATTACATACTAATTATTACTCAGGCTTTAGTTCTAGTTATGCAACACCACTTAGGGATTAACATCAAGAATGCTAAGTAAGCAGGAGTTTCAGTGTTTTAATGTTTAGGTGGAAGTGATTCTAGCCAACTTATGTTGGGTAATTTAATTGTTGCATATGCATATCTCATTAGCTTTATAGGTTTTTTTGTCTTCAAGCTGTCGTATGGAGGCACACTGATTAAAAGGTATGTTTCTCCTGGAAGCTAAATATAGTGTAGTAGTAACTATAAAGTAGTTCACAGAGTACTGAGAAGAAACAAAATGGTGGCTACTGCTACTCAAGCATGCACCTAAGCAACTGTACCTAAGTTTTTTGGGTTTTTTTGCATTCTGAGAATAAAGATGAGCAAAACTGTGCCACATAAGCACCACATCCCCTATTTTGCAACAGTCTGTGTTAATGATAATAAGTAAAATAAAAAGAGGGACTTTCTCATAAACTGTTTAACCTTTAAATTCGGGGTTTCGTTGGGAATCTCCCACTGAACGGTTTTTACCCCGCGAAACCCCTAACTCCCCTGACGTCACAATAGTGGTCAGCTGGGATGCGCACGAGCGAGAGCGCATTGATCAGCCCCCGTCGTTGTCACTTCCTGGAAGCGAGGTCACGTCAAATACATAGTTCCCTTTAATCATTGCTATCTCCCTGAGGCGGAGTTCACACCACAGACTGAAATTAAGTAACCGAAGAGCCGACCGCATTAAAAGGTAATTATTGAAGTTTTGCAATGATAATTTATCAAGTAACTTTTTGACCTAACGTTATGTACAGTAGCCAAGCTAACGTAGCTAAGTTAGCTAACGTTTGTAGCGATAGGCTAGATTAACGTTACATCTTCGCAGTCCCTTTTAGTAATTTAACAAAACACCTCGAAGGCACGGGTCAAAGTCCAAACCGACTGCTTGTATAACTGTATGATTAACGTACTTTAAGCTCGTTTTAAAGCTTAATTTGTCAGACTACTGGGCTAACATTAGTGCAGTGCGTGTAGCTAGTTAGCTGGGTGGCAGCTGTCAGATGCAAGTAGCAGTTTGCTTTATTCGGTGTTTACATACCAGGCACTATGGGGCTGTTGTGTCGCTATTGTTGAAAGTAAAGCTGCCAGACTTTTCTGGAGTTTGCGGGGCCAGTCGTTACAGTCCAACCACCTATTTAAATGAAGATAGCAACGCTACGTGTTTATAGCGATGTTATGACTTGCTATCACATGGGTAAACACCTATGACGCCATGATTTTCCAACTTTGTGCGAAACAGTTTTGACCGAGCTCAGATACTCAGAAATACCCCAGATGTTGCCTTCTGTGTTTGCACATGAAACACAAAGTTATAATTTGAGTTTGCTGTTTATGTGGTGATTGTTTTCTAAAGATTGTCGACGGGTAATGTAGTTCAAAGATCAGGAGCTGCTCCCTTCCATAAAGCAAGTATATACTATGCCAAAGGTAGCAGTAGAGCAATAGTTGCTTCATCAATAATGTAACTGATCAACTGTGGTTACATGGTAAATTTAGCTGAAGCATTCAGTTGTGACATTGCTTTCTGACGTGGGATTAAAGTGTTGAGATATATGAGTTTAATGAAGTTGTTTTTTTAAGATATGTGTCATCTATTCTGGGCTTGAATCTGCGTATGATACACCTTCAGTACAGCACACAGTTATGAGTGCCACACATGCACTCTCCAAAAAGTGCAGCACAGTGCCAAAAAACCCTCAAGTTTCACCCTCTGGGAAAATATGCACAGGTGGGGGTGTGGTCTGCCTCCCACGATGTGTTGCAACATCATTGAACTTGTTCATAGCACACACTGTGCACCTTTGCTCACTAAAATCCTGCGCCACACCTCTGCAATGCTGATCCTTTACGTTCAATGTCTTACATGTTTTAATAGCCCCGTTTGATTATTACTTTATGCTTGGCTGGGGGAGTGTTGTTGTCCTTTTAGCCTAGTGTGTGTTGTCAGGCTGCAGGGGGATACACCCTTCGCAGTACAGTGTGTTGCAGTGCACTGAGCCGTTGTCACTGGTGCCCATCCCTCACATGGAATATTCAATACCTCCATGTGATTTGTCTGGCTGCTTCTCTTAAAGGCACAGTCACCCTCTAAGAGTCTAAAAGTACTGATCTGCTCTTTGGTGTGAGACACAGAAAGCCACTCAACCATTGAATTGTCTGACTTTTGTGTAGTTTTCAACCCTGTGAGGTAAAGTGTAATGCAAGGCTGTTAGCTACTTTGTTTACTTATTCCTGTGTTGAATGCTCAGAGTAGCAAGAAGCGATTTCGCTGATATTATTTGACCCTGTGTAGACATTTACGTAACTTCAAAATGTTAATACCTGCAGCATTTTTTTCTGCTCCTCTTTATCTGCAGACATTCTCTACATCAAGTTTGTCCGCTCAGCAGCTTCCTGCCCAGTTCTATCATGTGTGATCCCGGACAAGACAGCGATTTGGAGACAGATCACATGGCGGATTTTTCCCTGATGAACAGTCGCCTGGACTCATTCCGTGGCTCCAACCTGGCCCAACAGATATCAGCAGAAAGACTAGCCCGAGCCGGCTTCTACTTCACTGGCCAGGCCGATCGTGTCCGCTGTTTCAGCTGCCGCAAGACTGTGGAAAACTGGTGCAGGGGAGACACACCTGTAGAGAGGCATAAGGAGGTAGTTAGAGTAGTAATGAAAAACAAACATGATCAACTTTTTTTTCATCTTTATCTAAATAGCTAAATCACACTTTACTCTATTATTACAGGTTTCACCATCATGCAGGTTTCTCAGCTGCACCCACCGCACCAATTTTAATCCAAGCTGTAACACCAGACTGACTAACGGCTCCACCTACAATGAAGATGCAGAAGACATGGAATATCGTTTGAGAACAGGAGAGGTGGTCGATGAGTCCACCTACCCAATGGCCCCTCACATGAGGAGCGAGGAGGCTCGGCTTCAGACCTTCTCTTCTTGGCCCTCTACTGCTCCTGTGAGTCCCCGAGATCTGGCCCAAGCCGGCCTCTACTACTTAGGAGAGAGCGACCGCGTGCAGTGTTTCTGCTGTGGTGGCATGCTGGGTGGCTGGGAAGCAGGGGACACCGCCTGGGGAGAACACACCAAGCATTTTCCCTACTGCTTCTTCATCCTCGGGCATGATGTAGGCAACATCCCATTCCAGGGGGGTACGGAGGAGGAGAGCGGCAGCAGACAACATGCAAACACTCGTGGCTCTATGGGGAGTCTTGATGAGAGGCTTGGTAGCTTTGCAGGTGTCCAGCACCCCATTGACCCTGAGAGGCTTGCCAGAGCTGGCTTCTACAGTGAAGGTAGAGCACAAATGCCGGACCAAGGGGGGCATAATTTTGGGACTCAATAAACATCGAGAAGCTGTAATTAATTGACTGCTCAGGCATTTTATTAAAACCAGTTTAAATTGTGTGTGCCCTTGCAGGGACGGGAGATAGGGTCGTATGTTTCCGCTGTGGTGGAGGTTTGAAAGGCTGGCAGCCTGATGAAGACCCTTGGGAAGAACATGCCAAACACTACCCTGGGTAAGAGCAACCATGCACAGTATATCCATACTTATATACACAGTTTTTGATTTTGTTTTTGCTGTGGCACATGATTTTGTTTCAGTACAGTTATTTTTGTTTTTCAGATGCAGCTTCTTGTTAGCAGAAAAAGGACAGGAATTTATCAACAGCATCCAGCTACAAGACCCATGGCAAAATGGAGCTGTAAGCATTCCTTGCTTTTACATGCATGTAGAGGGATAGTATTGATTTTTGTTTTTTTAAGTGGGGCTGTATGAGGTACTTATTCATGGCCAGTGTATTACCTACAGTAGACAGTGGTCAGTGTGCTCACTGTTTGGAGAAGCAGGCAGGAGTAGCATCACAGAAGCCATAGCGATGTACAAAACATATTTTAGCCACCTAAAAAAACAATATCAGTTTAAGTGTACGCTATATCTCTGATATTTTCACCACTTTACCTTGATGTCAGACAGCCCTTTCTGATGGGAAACTGAAGCCATTATATCCATCAATGCTCTCCTCAAGTACCCAGGCTCCATTGACGAAAACAGTGATTTTACCTCACAGAACATGGGAGTCGCTAGTCTACCACTGTCTCTGTGACTTTGGTGAATCCAAATTAACCCTTTAAAACAACAAAGTCACACAGTAACACAAACTAACTGATCGAGGCAGCAGTAGACTTGTAGCTCCTTTGTTCAGTGAGGTAAAATTAATGTTTTTGTCAAAGGACTCTGGTGGCTATGAAGAGAGCATAGATGGATATAACCGCTTCATTTCCCCATCAGGAAGGGCCGTTTAACAGCAAGATCAGCTTACACTTAAACTGTTACTGATTTTTTTAGGTGGCTAAAATATATTTTGATGCTGCCCCCATCCACAGCAGTATATCGCTATACCTTCTGTAGCGCTACTCCTGCCTGCTTCTCCATACTGGAGGCTTGCCAACTGCCACCTCCTGTTGGAAATATATTGATGGATCAGAACCTCATACAAGCCGACTTCAAAAAGTCCAGACATCACTTTGAGTAATCAGCTTTTGTTGACTTTGTCTGATTTTGTAACGTCTGATTCCTGGCCAACGATGAGCTTAACCTGGTTTCTAACCTTGTGTTCTCCAGTGGCACATGTGCACAATAAAGTCCCAGGACAGCTAAAGCATTGCTGTGACAGCAGTGTGTCAGAATAAAAGGAACTATTACTTATAGTACTTATAGTGGTGTGACCTTCTTTGTGAAATATTAAAATGCAAAATATGGCTAAAACTGAACTAAATATTTTCCAGCCATTTAAAGGTGACAGTTCTGTCCTTTAACAAAGCTCACATGCCTTTACTTTTAAAGTATTACTGGAAAGTGTTTTCAGTCCAAAATCCACAACCCTGGTTCTGTATTATAACGACTTCAGTGAGACTTCATCAAACCGAATTGCACAAATCAAGTTCAGTAGATACCTTCCGAAATTATAGTTTTTTTTAGTACCACATTCCATCCATGTGTTACTGTCCCTCTCCCGTGGCTTAGCAAGCAGTGTCCTTTGCTAGAGGAGGGAATTTTGTCTTGAAAAAGTTTGTGGCTTCTGTTGAACTTTTTAATACATTTTTACACATAACAAGGACTGATGCTATTCCAAAACAATGGACAGGAGGAACAGTTGCAGCAACCAATAACTCCATACACATATGAGCATTTATTCCTGTTTGAAGACACAGCTGAAAGATGTCAACCTATCAGCGAACTGCACACGGTCCTGTGGCATAAATGGGAAATTTGTTTGTGGGTGGACAAATTGAAAAAGAATACATGCTTACGATATTTAAATAGTAGTACTTAGTACTGTAATGTTTGTTGTTTTCTGGACAGATACACATCCTTGCGCTATGTGGGGAAAAGTAGTAATCAAAGATGTTGTTGCCTGGCTTTTGTTTCACTTGTATTCTGAAAATAACAATGACCATGTTTTTTTCCAGGCTTCAAGTCATCAGAATGGATTTTCAGGACATGGGAATGGTAAGCATCAGCGTTTTTTAATTTCACTCCACTTTTAAAGGATATAAGAGTAACTCATAACATCTCCTGTGCTCACAAATGATGCATAAATACAGTATACTGGTAACTGTTTAGAGTAACGTACCTCAATATAACAAATAGTTTTGTACACTGATGTTTCCTCTCTGTCTTCAGAGGTGCTGCAGTCCGCCATGGCTCAGAAGGCCATAGAAATGGGTTTAGAGCCCAGTGCTGTGGAAAGGACCATCTTAGAGAAAATGAGTAGGACGGGCTCAGGCTACTCTACCCTGGAAGCACTTATCGAGGATTGTCTTAACAACACACCAAACAGTGATGCTGCCAAGACACAAGGTAATGTACCCTCTTGTGTGCTGAACAAGGTTCATAAAATAAACATACAGTTGTTTACTAAATAAAACAAAGCCTGAGCAGCAGTGATTTAAAGGGACAGATCACAAAATCAAAAATACATCTTTTTTCCTCTTACGTGTAGTGCTATTTATCAATCTAGATTGTTTTGGTGTGAGATATTGGCTGTAGAAATGTCTGCCTTCTCTCCAATATAATGGAACTAGATGGCACTCAGCTTGTGGTGCTCAAAGTGCCAAAAAACTACATTTGAAAATACTTAACAGCAATGTCTCTTTCCAGAAATCATGACCCAGTTACTCAAGATAATCCACAGACCCTATTGTGAACAGTTTTGTGTAGGAACCATTTTCTTACTACTGAACTACACCCACCAACCATATCACCACAAAGAAAGAAGCGTGCATCTACTGCTAGTTCACCAAGCACCATTGAGCTAGCTAATGCTATAATTTAGCTGATGAGGACGCCATTAATGTTTACATCTTGCGCTGTCATGAGCCTCTCATGCATGAGTAGATGCACCTTTCCATCTGCATGGTGATACAGTTGGTGAGTAGTTCAGTAGACAGAAAGTAGTTCCTACATGAAACTACTCACAACAATGTCTGTGGATTATCTTGAGTAACACGGTCATGATTTTTGGAAAGAGGCATTGCTGTTGAGTTTTAGATGTACTCAGATGTACCTTTTTGGCACTTGGAGCACCACAAGCCGAATGCCACCTAGTTCTATTATATTGAAGAGAAGGCAGACATCTCGATGGCCGATTTCACCAACACACAGCAACTCACGAAAACAATCTAGACTGATTTAAAAAGCACCACAAGAAAGAGGACAAATGTGTATTATTGATTTTGGGCTGAAATGTCCCTTTTAAATATGAGCAAACGCATTTTAATGTTTTTGCCCCCCTCTGTCTTCCAGATGAGGACCCACTGGAGAAACTACGGAAGCTGCAGAGGGAGAAACAGTGCAAAATATGTATGGACAGAGATATCTGTATGGTCTTTATTCCATGTGGACATCTGGTCACTTGTAACGAGTGTTCAGAGTCGCTCATCAAGTGTCCGATCTGCTGTGGAGCCATTTCACAGAAGATCAAGACATATATCGCCTGAGGGAATCACAGATTCTTGCCAAATGTCAATGCTGCTTTCTCACTATCTTTATTGTATTTTAATATTAAATGTAGATAGCTTGTGATATATTTAAGGACCATGTTGTTTGTATAAGAATCACAGAATGAGGAAATGTCATCAGAAAACAACATTTTCACAATCACTAAGATGGAAAATTGCTGTTAATATTGAGATGGTACTATATTATTAATAGCTGATGTTGATTTCACAGGCATTTAATCAGTACTGACACTTGTAAATACACACTAAATGATAATTACAATTTTGCAACACTTTTTCTTGCCAGGGTTGCCTTTCTTTAGTTTCATGTATATGTCTTATCTTGTGTTATTTTGAACATTTCTGACAGGGAAGCAAAACACATCACGGGATGTGATATCAGATGTCAGTTTCATACACTTATGTGTCCCACTCATCACATCTATTTTGTCTGGCGTACTTTTGTCAGTGTGAGCTGCTCTGTATGATATGTATAAAGATAAATCAGTAAATCTTTTAAAACTTTATAACTGACAAAACTGTCTAACTTAGGGCCTGCAAGTGTGGAGTGAAATTATTTTACCATTCCATCATGCAAGAAGAGTGAATAAATTTGAATGTTCGGGCTTGAAATTTGTTTTTCTTTAATCAGTATAACACTTTGCATTGTTGAACTACAACTGGTATGATTTACAGTTAAGACAACACCAACCCCATCTTATCACCCACTTAGAAAAGGTTAGTTTTAGGCTATAATATCGGAAAATCAGTATCCTAAATTTTCCTTTGGAGTTATTCCACTTTTACACACTGTATAAATTTGAATGAGCTAGGAGCACTCTTTGTCAGTTAAGGTTTGATGTCACTTTTGCAAAGGGATCCTGTAGATATTAATCTTTCAAATGAAAAATGAACAGCATTTAAGTTTAATATTTACAAGAATATTAGGTCATGGAGGCAACATGCGGGCAATATTTGAAATGAATTCTCTGCATATTCCACTCTAAATAGATAGATAGGGTGTAAGGAGGCCAAATCAAAATATTTAAGGGACTGATCATTATTTATGAGGGGAAAAGGTGGTGCAATTTTTTCTTAGGCTGTGGGGAGGAACTTATGTATTTTTTTTATTTTCGATTAGAGGAGAGGCATACAACTTTAAATGGCTGTATTTTGTAATTATTTTAGCATGGATTTTTAAAGAAAATGTGGCATGTTTTCCTTAAAAATGGCCATAATTACACCATCTATCATAGCCAGAACCTGGTTTGAATCTTCCTGGGGTTGATGTCAGCAAAGGCATGTGGTCACAAGAGGTTCCCACTGCCTAATCAAACGGGATCAGATTAATCTGAGTCAAGTCCTCAACCAGGGCGCGTCTGAAGGCCATTGTAGATGGGAGGTTCCAGACGTAAAAGTGGATTCAACCCATAAAAACAGAAATTATTGTTGGATTTTCAAATTTCCAACAGTCCTTGAACAAAATAATAGGATGAATACGTCAGTCAGGGAAATAAACATTACCAAATCATTGTGTTATTCAATTAAAATCACTTTATTCTACATTTAAATTTTGCAAAAAAAAAAATAAAACAAAACTGCATGAATTAACCATCATGCGTGACATGAGTGAAAAACAAAGCTTTTTTCCAACTCTTGTACTTTGTCTTCAACTTTTTTAAATCCCCAAACATCAAACAGTACGTTTTAAAAAATCTAACAACTCATTTATGCTGGAGGGAGGGTCATGCAATTTCCCTCAGTCAGTGAAGGAGGCTCCAGTCAAAACATTTGCAGCTTCGGAAGTCACACCCCAGACATACCCTTCCTCTGATAACTAAAGAACAGTCCCTAAAGATTAATTGAACTCCCTGTGTCACAGCTGGGGTTCAAATAAGCTCATTTTGGCGACAAGTTATATCTCAAATATTGCAAGGAAGCTGAACCGTGGTGGTCATGTGCGTAAATGCTGGAGGGAAGTTGAACTGTGGTGGTCAGGAGCGCTGTATAGAGATTATACTTTCTTCTCCCCTTATTCAAACGGAATAGGAGTAAGATACATTTAAGTCACTATTTTACCGATATATAGTGACAGATTTTCTTTACTTAATTGTGTTTCTACAGGCGTTTCCCACGGCAGCTTGGAGGAGAAGTCAGAACACATAGTACAGAACATCAGTCTTCAGATGTAGTATCTATCAGTGACCGCTAGATGTCAGCTCAGTGTAGTGTATCTAATGCGGGTATTGTGGCCGCTAGGTGGTAGCTCTGCACCAGGATTTCCTCCTCCCAGGTCGTCGAAACAACAAACCGAACTACGGAGCAAGCGGGGTGAGAGAACGTCCGAAACCGCCTCTGACCGCGACTTTTAAACTCTTTTTACAGAATTGTAGCGGGATTCAGACGGAGGGCGCACACGAATAGTAAAAGTTACGGTTCTGCCGGGACTACATTTCACAACAAGGTAAGTTAGCTGTAAAATGGCGGAGAGCTATCTGGAAGTTAGTTGATTTGTATTTTGCTAGCCGTCTCGCTAGCCATGCTAGCTCTAGATGAGCCCAGAGCGCGGATGTCTGCCTGAACCAAGTCGCTCCGCTAGCTCGCGGTATATGGCTACTTCGGTTGTTAGCAAGCTAACGAACTGGATTTCGGGCTCACTTACGCGGAATATTTAGTTCGTAGCCAAAAGAAGCGTTTTGTTGTTTCAAGCAACTTAGTTGGACTTTATATATTTGTAAACAAAGTGATTGTTGCTTATGCAATACGGTACTGGAACTCCCGAGGCAAGATGGAGGACGCAAGGACGTGATGTTTTTTTAGGTAACGTTAGCACTAGCTGTTAGCATAGCTCACCAGTGGTAGTTAATATCAGCTCCTTAATCGCAACGTATCTGCTCATTGCCATTTGCTTTATCTTAGAGTCAACACTGAACACAACTGGTGTGTAGACAGAAGGCAGTTATTGTCCTCGGAAACACCAGGGACAAGCGTTATTGTGTACTAGCCAATATTAGCATGCGCTAGTACAGTAGGGCTTGCGTTGTTTTGTTATTATGGTCCAACAACGATAGCGCTAATAAACGCGGGTATGTCCTCGATATCTACCGAAAATGCACGGTGCAAGTCTGTCGCCATTCCTGCTCAGCAAATCACAGTTTGTTCGCACGGAGTAGTGCATGCTTACTGGATCAAATTTCAACTAGCTGACGCTGGGGAAAAGACCCCAAAAACCCCTCGCTTACTCGCGTTAGCTTGTGGCGCTAGCACTAGCAGCGCACCGGTGTCAATTTTGACAGGAGCCGACGAAGAGCGTGGCCGCGTCGGCGTTGTTGGAGGGAACTGAGTCGGTAGCTTCTGGCGTGGTTGACTTGCAACAATCCACACTGTTGGGATTCACAATTTCGTTTCATGTAGGATCGTCTAGTCTCGACTTGCAGCGCTGAGTTTATGAGGTACACTGACCGATTTGGCGCCACTTTTTCAGTCTACACCCATAGAATCCCGTCGTCTTGTTATGCAGTAAGTTATCCCCTCACTATCAAGGAAATAGATGTGTTAACACGTTTTTAATTCAGAAAATACTTCAGTTAAGTTAAAACTCACAAAGTTGTAACCACCTTATACACGGTGCTGAGGTTGCACGGCTCTACGTTGACTGTGTTTTGACGGTGTGGGGAATTTTACGTCGATCATTGTATATTCATAACATTTATGCTGGGTAAGATCCCCCAGTGTGACATATGTGGACCATCATGTGCAGCATACTGTGAAAGAATACCGTGAATAATGTTAAGATCCGAGAACAAATTAAAATTTCATTGGAAGTTTACTCACTACTCATAAATGCTATTGTAATTCAAGAGTAAGAATGACACACTTCCATGTCATTACTGTGTGTACTGGGGCAGAGAGACACACATATTGCAGCCAGAGTGGGTATATGATGGGTGGAGTTGAAGTTTACCTTTTCATGACTGATCAGTTGTCCCTGGAGTGCTTTTATTGCTTTCCCTGACTCCTAAAGAGGTATTTACATTTGTTTCCGAAATATAAAATGCACAAAAACCCTCCTCTAGAAAGTTACCTCTGCTCTCCCCTTTGATGTATGTGCCTCTAATTTACACTTCTCAGCCATGCAATAGTTTTCTGTGGCCTGCAGTATCTTGTTGATGTTGATACTGTGTTTTGATTGGTTGAGATATGTATGGGGCGGATAGGGCAGTGCCATATTTGGCCATTGAGGAAGACACTCCAGTGTTCCTTGCATGACGTCGGTAAACCGAGGGGAGCAGAGAAAGAGAGGGAGCCAATGGCTAGACAGCTGAGTGTGACAGGAGCATTAGTGTCCGCCTACTGTTACCATGTGAAACCGTTTTTTTTTCCTCTGAACAGCATCAAAGAAACATTTGCTCACTACTGAGGATGTGATTTCTGTGAACATACACATGCTTGATTTTTGTCTTTGTGGCGTTTATTGCCTGTGCTGTGTTGAAATGGGAAACAAGTGTGCATGTACCTCTCTAAATTACTCTTGTGTCACATTCTAGGTCGAATGCAACCTCTCCTATCTGGTATTTTCTGAGGATCTCAAGCCAGTCATAAGTTGAAGTTATCCAGAAGATGTTACAGAAATGATAGCAGCACCAGAAATACCATCAGAGTACTCCTATACTCAGTAAGTGCTTGCCTCCACCTTTAATTTGCTTTTAAAGGTAAGGTTGATATGAGTTTTCAATCTAATATTTTCTTGTGTCTAACAGGGATACAGACACCCGATTCTCTTCAGACACAGACTTCTCTGAGGATCTCGATGGAAGGAGTGCAGCCTCAGCTAAAGGAAAGGTATAGAAAGCACAAATGGCTCTCTGCCCTTGGCCTAGATCAGGACACCCTGGTCAAATAACACAGTATTGCATCAATTTGTCATGGATATTTGTGTCAAGTGGGTAAAATTAGCTTTATCTTCTCGTAATCTCTGCAATTGTTCTCACCCTTTCTTAATTCCTTATGGTTTTGTGTTCTTTTCCAGGGTGGAAAGAAGGGGAAGAAGGCAGCAGGGGAGAAAGGCAAAGGAGGGAAGGGAGCAGGCCGGATAAATGGCCACCATCAGGAAAATGGCATGGAAAACATGATGCTGTTTGAGGTGGTGAAGCTGGGCAGGAGTGCAATGCAGGTATGAATGGAAAGATATTTGAGATCGCCACACTGTATAAATCTTTTTCTTCGGTCACATGAAGAATCTAATTTTTTTTGATTGATTTCTGATTTTTAATTTTTGTCTGTCCCTGTTTTCCTGCAGTCTGTCGTTGATGACTGGATTGAGTCTTACAAACATGACAGAGATGTTGCGCTACTAGATCTCATCAATTTCTTCATTCAGTGCTCAGGATGTAAAGGTATGTGTGTTTGTTCAAGTTGTCCTATTTCATGTTCAGCCCATTTCGGACATTGAGGAAAACATTTTAAACTTTATGTCTTATACAACCACTCAGACACATCTGGTACTGTCATCTCGCTGAGTTGGTTTACCTGACTGTTCAGTAAATTGTCTTCTGTCTAACCTCTTGTGTTTTATCAGGTGTGGTCAGTGGAGAAATGTTCCGCAACATGCAGAACTCTGAGATCATCCGACG